TAGAATGAAATTTTTCGATGATAGTATCTTGAGAAGTGTTCGACCATGAACAATTCACAAATTAATTAGACATTAGATTTTCAAAGCCCGCTATTTTATATGAATCAATATTTGGCAAAGACATACTTTCAATATATTATTAATTAACAGAGATCATGTTGATTTTCATAGTGTTATTTTACAAAAGTAAGTAATGCCCATTTCAAAAAAAGGGCAGGTGGATATTTTTGAAGAGAATGATATAGAGAGCTAAGATTTTCACCATTGGAAAGAGACGATGAAGATGTATCGAACTATATACAAAAAGACTTTTCTAATTACTTTCCTCATAGTCTTATGTAAAGTTTCTTGAAAAGCAACATGCCTTGTGTGGTTACGATATTAACCTATTTATTTTCAGGGATGCACTAGAGTCACCAATCAAAGAACTACAAAACTGTATAAAGATTCTATTCCTAGTTGCAATCAATAAGATATCCTAACCATTGAAGTGCAAGTTATCACGCCATTTTTCCAAGAAAATAATCAACAAATATACGTTTTCTTGTATTTTGATGAAAATTTCCTTTTCTTTTAATATATGAGAAAAAAGCAATTCTTTGAGAAAGTCTGACTAAAACTCTTGGAAAGTAGTCAGAAAATCTTTTCGTATATGATTCGATGCGTCTTTATTGCTTCTTTCCAATAGTGAAAACCGCAACTCTCTATGTCATTTCCTTCAAAAGTTATTCAAAAAAGATTCACCTGCCTTTTTTTTTTCGAAATGGTCATTAGTTCTATTTCTATACTATGTAAGAAACATAACTATCATCAATAGTACTAGGTATTGATCAGTTTGAAAAGAACACTTTTTAACATAACTTTAATATTCTAGTTCAATCAAATTTTATTATAAATAAATGTGGAAACCTCGGATTTAAATCCAAGAGTTATGTGTACTTCAAAAAGTGAATGAGACAGATGAGTTACCCTAGAATGTGTGGACATCAAAATTGTCCTGGCAAACCCTTTCTGTAAACACTTAATTTCTATTGGCTATTGCTCAGCCAATACGATTTGGAGGCAAATACAGAGAAGATTTGAACTCTTCACCTTCATTTACCCTAAGAAACTCGTTTTTCTTATAACTTGATTTCTATTGGTCACTGCTCAACCAATGGGATTTCGAGGCGAATGGAACATAGATTCGAGTTCTCCATTCTAGAAAATCTCGAACTATCATCTCTGTGATGGGAAGATAGAGCTCTAATTGTGGATCACATAGAGCGTGGACAAAAACAGAACCGAATTCCGATTAATTATCTTTGCAATGGGCGAGTTAGCTTTCTTGTTTCTTTATGTTTTATATACCATTTTGTAGCTCGTGAAATTCTCTATCGAATGGTATATAATAGTTGGAGTTTTATATGACTATGATAGGAAAAGTTTTTTATGAATGTAGAGAAGGGTCTATCTTCTCATAGGGAAAAATGACTATTTTTGCTATAACTCAGCAATGGTTCGGCCAATCATTCTCATCTTCGAACTCGACCGAGATATTGTTAAGACTAAACTGTGTAGAAAATTTCATCGCGATCGGACTCTCCTTTCAAAAGTTATCGTGTTAACGGCCGGACGGACGGCCGGACACACTGACCGATTCTAGAGTGTACTCACTTTTTGAGTACACAAAAATAGTTTGACATAGAAAACTTTATTATCATTGATTTAGACGCTTTGAATCGTTTTACTCTTGTATTCAAATCTCTTTTTTTTTACTGATTATTCTTAAGCAAACTGTCAACTGTATAATTATGTTTATATTTTTCCTTATATACAAAATGTCAAAAATTAAACAAACTTCATATTTGGTTTAAAATGATCATTGTGCAATATTAAAGTTCGTTATTGAGGACAAAACTAAATCTATAAAAGATGCATTTACTTGCAAAATAATTTTCAACTCGTCCTATTTCATGCAAATTATTTAAAATATTAGCATTTTTTGCGTATAAATGCAGGACAATAATATTTGCATAGAGTTGCATGTCTGACACAAATGGATGCAAATACAATTTTCTCAGTTTTTCATTATAAGAATATCGTAAACATCTCTAGACAATGAACGATAGGGATAAAACGTTGATAACATATTTACTGCATGTTGACGGAATCAGTCTATTAAAATCTTTTAATGTAAAGATGTGAATATTTAGTACTTCAATAATAGAACTAAGGCCGCCATTGTGGAATCGCTGATACAAAAAGGTGTTATTTTTATTTTGATGAGACAGCTGTGAGTATGGGGTGTAGATGTGAGGTTATGGTTCTAGTTGTGGATGTTCATTTTACTGACAACAATGTCTACACCAATACACCTACACCGGATTGTTATTTTTTGGATCGTGAAACTTTAAATTATTTGAATAATTGCATTCTCGAATTATATATGAAATAATTTAGTTATGCTATGTTGCCAAAGATATGAAACAATACCACCTTCGAACTTTTGTGAAGAAAACTTTTATAATTTTCTGGTAAAATTTCTCAAAGAAAAATATACTAAAAGATATGTCGTAATTAGAGCTCAAACTCAAGATGGTTACTTTTACTTTTCTTACACTTTCATCCGTGATACTAAAATTCATGACTGAAACTGTACCCTTATTTGTCCGTGATTTGTTCCCTCTCTCATAAAAAATTGCATTCAAAAATAATAGAAAATCTATTTTTCAGAGAAACAAAATCCTCTCATCTGAGACGTTCTCCGCATGTCAAACTGTCAAACGATGGAGAGGAAAATTGCAAAATACGATCAGAATTGAACAAGTGAATTTTTCGAGTGTGATCTGAACTTTTCAAGGATTGAGGTTCTTATCATTGTTTTTGTCGAAATAAATTGGAATGAGCTGATATTAGGATTTTTATAACAACTTTTTTCTAGGCTTGCGAATGAAATAATCAAATTCAAAATCTAATATAAATAGTGTCAATTTAATCGATTTCGTTTTGATTTTTAGTCAAAATTTTTTAGATGACTTATGCATTTCCCAAATTAAAACAATCATAAATCTTTATTATGTAAATCTTTTTAGAAGTTTCATTTAGCCAATATATAAAAACAGAGTATTTATTCAGTTCGATGACATTCCTCATCTACACACAAAAGTCCGGGTGCATTATCAACTGTGCATTAAGTAGCATGAGTGGCACTAAGAATAGTAACCGATATTATTCTTTGAAATTGATCAACAGGCATTTTACTCGTGAAAACTTTTTTTTTAATGAATGATAGTCTTCGAGAAGTTGCAATACCTACGAATACATCTTGCTCTTTCGAATCAGTAAGTAATTCAATTTTTTCTCTCATGCTGTTTTTTTTAAGCATGAAACTTGTTCGACTTTATTCAACTCGTGATCTCTATGATAATAAACTTTTTACGATGTTCTGATACAAATGACTGCAGGGATGGTGGATATATTTTTAACAGAACCATTCTAGGTTAATCTAAACCATGTTATCAAAATATGGCTCAATATTGAAGCTTGTAATATACTCATCTTAGAAAATACATGATATATCCTTCATCTATCGTAGAGTTGTTATCATATAACTATATGTGAACTTCAAATTCGATACTATTATTGTCCTTTACACTACATCAACTATAGATTATGTTTTTTTTTTCTAAGTACATATTCATATGATGAAATGCAACACCATAACCTATACAGAATATCTTTCTTTCACATAAACATTAATTCTAATTATCACATATGTTTTATCGGAATCGTTCATTTGTTTGTATATTATAATACAGACAAATATTTGGTAAGTTGTTGAGGTCAGTAAAGCTACAATCATCTATTTATAAAATAGACACTTTGATAATTGTAAATGGCATATTAGATAAATATTCAGTTGTTCATACGTCAAAGTTTATGATATAACTGATGGTTGATGACAATGCGTGATTTGACTAACAATGAGAGCAACCATTTTTGTCATAGTGTTGATTGAATAAGTAAAAAGACAAAGAAAAAAAGACTCGTTTTGCAAATAGCACGAAAGAATACATTTCCCAGCTGAATTTCTTTTTTTTTTTTTTTGTTTCACATTAATATTTATCCTTCATTTATTATGATTTAGTATTCTTTTCTTTACAAAGAACACAAATGATGAACTAGAAATTTTTATTAATCAAGAATTATTATCTATATGAAACTATACATAAGAAGTAGGTTTTTGGAAAAATCGAAATTAATAAAAACAGTTGCAATTGTTCATATATATATATATGTATATGTTAGTTAGAACTATTGGTGTTATTCGTTAGTTGTCAAAAATGTTTTGTAGATTTATTTTCATAAATATACTCATTTATTCTGTTATATTAGTGAAATCTTCTCCTATTATCATCATTTATCTTAATTATCAACTTGAGAAAGAAAATGAATATTAGACAATAATTCTATATTATGAACGGAAGACAATTGAAGATGATGTGTTATAGAGCTTTATAGACATACAATAGTTAAGGAACTGAGCAGTTATTTGCCAACATTCTATTTCCTCTCGAACTATGGATTAACAATTGAATCACAATTGCGTAAGTAATAAAAAAAAACGAGAACATTGTCTCACAGATGAACATCACTATAGAAAGAGAAAAGGAATCAGCATAGAGAACCATTTCAACTATTGTAATAATGCTTGACCTTATTCTTCATATATTGTTCACATTATTTTTTTTTTTGCTAGGGAAAAAAATGATAGACAGACTGTCTTCATTGAGACACTATACAACATCGGTCATACATGCATATATTTCTTTCCTGTTCTTTTCCTTCTTCGTTGAATTAGAAATGTCTGGAAGAATAATGACTAGATAAAAATTTATGATTTGTTCTTTTCTCAATTGTTCATCGATTTATATAATGTTAAGTTATCGATAGTATTTGAATGTTTTAATTTAGATGTTCTTGATTATAATCTTATCGAAAATAATAATAATTAATCGATGAGTCCAATTACAACAACTATGCGATCATCATCATTTCAATCATGTGGTATATCTGAAGAATCTTATTGTGCACCATGGGATTTAAAAATACAAAAAGAAAAATTCAAATTACTTAATGAACAATGTCAAATATCATCATCAAACACTAGTACACCATTAGTCAAGAATCTACTTCGTTCTTCGAATATAAACAATCAATCAACATCTTCATCATTGAATCATAATCATAGAAATAAGTTATTGCATCAAACTTGTTTAGCACCGACATCATCATCATCAACAAAAAAATCTTTAATACAACTTGACTTAATACCACCTGAACTTCCTCCATTACCACCGGGTGGTTTAGTACCATTGTGTCAATGTGGTATTAATAATAATATTCGAAATAAAAATTCGATTATTGAAAATCTCGATCTATCATTTAAAAAAAACTCTCATTGTCTCAATACACATACGATTTGTTCAGGCACAGATACTTCACATAGTTTTTTATTTGCTTTAACATCACCATCTAATAAGCGTAGTAAAACAATTAATACAACAACAACTACGGATAATACACAACCTATATCATTTGAAGTATGTTCGTATTTGAGAAGAGATTAGAAAATTGTTCTATCTTTTCTTCAGGCATCTTTATTTCATTTTAAACATTTAAATTCATCGATTCAAAACAATTCTTTACATAAAATACAGACAACTTATGATCAACCATGGGATAATTTACAAACATGTTTTTTCAATAATCTTTCATTGACAAATAATCGTAATGGAGGATCATTACAAAAGATGTCAAATACAGAACAAACAAAACAATATTGTTCATCATCATCATCAAATTCTTTGACTTCTACATGTCAACATTTAGAAGATATAAGAAAAATTCCAATTGATTGTTATTTGTATTTATTTATTTCAATTTTATAGAAAGATGTTTTTTTTTTTTTTATTAAAATATATTTATTTAGTTGGTATCATCATGCAATGTCTCGACGAGAAGCTGAAAATATTTTACAATCTCGTCCATCGGGTAGTTTTCTTGTACGACAAAGTGAAAGTGGAAATCACAATGATTATTCACTTTCTATTAGGTAAAATTATAGATTTTTATTTTTAAATGTATGTATATTCCGGATTTTTTTTCCTTCTTATTTAATAGAACAATAAAAGGTTGTATGCATATGCGTATATGCTATTCTGAAGGTTTCTATATTCTTGGTGAATGTTCAAGACCATTTTCAAGTGTATCATGTATGATTAAATATTTTAGTCAAACATCTGTACCTATTCGTGATGCAGCACATATTAAATTAGGTACACCGGTATTACGATGGGAAATATTAACATCATCATCATCATTATCTAATGAAGCACTTTTGTAATTTTCTTTTCTGGTGATCGTTTTCTTTTTTTTTTGCTTTAATTTTCAAATGTTAGCATTTGATTATTAATTAAATAAAAAAAATTTTCTTAATATTTTAAAGATATTCTGCACAGGTTAGATAGATAAAAAAAAAAGATTACACCATTTTTATTTATATTCTCATTAACTTTGTATGTGTTACATTTATATTCATTGAGACTTGTAAAAATTTATACTATTTTCTGATCATCGATTATGTGACTGACAACTAACGACACACTTTATGTAAACCTCTTTCTGTTGCTTGACGATTACAATTATTTTAAATATATCAATGGCAAATATAATGTTTTCTCATTTATTTATTCACATTCAATTGAACAATGTCACGTAACTATAGTGCTTCTCAATTCGAGCAAACGTTTGTACCAAAACGTTTGCAAATGTATCAAGTACCGCGAGATCCACAACCTGGCATGGTTTGTATATGATAAATAAAAAAAATGAATAAATTAATTCAATAAACTGTTATTTTGTAGCATCCTAAAGCAATAATGTCTTTAAATGCAAGTAGTTTTATTACTGATGATCAAGGTCGTCTTTTACCTGGTATTAAAAAATCCGAACGATCACCATTTGGGGAATTCATTGGAACATGGGATTTACCAAAAAGAATTCCTGGTCCTTATCATGTACATCCAATGGGACGAACAGAAAAGAATTTCAATTCACTTTGTGCGCAACGAGATCAAACTATTCAAGAAATGGAAAAAGCACGAGTTTATGATGTAGGTTTAATGATGAGAAATTTATTTATTATTTTTTTTTTCTTTTAATTTATTTATTTATTTATATTGTAGAAAGAAGGATCATTCATTCAACAAACTTCATAACGAAAAACAAAAAAACAAATAATTGAAAAATTTAAAAAAAGAAAAACTTTATTTTTTTTCTTATTTCTTTTTAAATTAAATTACTTTGATGCTTTTCGAATAAGATCATCGAAATATATGTATATTATAAAAACATTCGAGTTCTATGTATCTAATTAATTAAAATAACATCTGTTATACATAGTTCTCAAGTCAAACTTTGGTGATGATTTAATAAAGATCAAAACGTTCATAATAATAATAAAAAAAAATTCTATGAGATTTGTTTTAAATAGAATTTGAAGGCTTTAAGATGACAAGTTCAGTAGTGGATAAAAGTCTTTTCACTACTCGTATAAAATCACCATCACTTTCAGTAACTTCAGAATTTTGATTGTTCATATGATATGTAATTTGATGGCTGACTTCGATAGTATTCATGCTTTACTGTCGAACTAAAGATTGATAAGTTGTCAACTTTTTTCTTCATAACATTAACGTAAAAAGTTGCCAAACATTTTCGATGAATATTAGATCATATGACATTGACGATCAATTAATTTTTTGAATTGTATTATTCATATTATTATTGAATGCTAGTTTCTATGTTTATTTAAGTTCATAACTTCTTGTAGTTGTTACACCGTCAAATTTCGATCAAATTATTTCCGAACTGTTTACAAGAGATCAACTGGTAACTAACATCTATTAATTCGGTACATAAGTTGTGTTTAAAGCAGAAAAGATAACCGAAGCATCGACACGAGAAGCAACTTCAAGTATTGACTGCGATAGGACGCTTGACAGCTCTTACGATCATCTATTTTTCTAGCAAGTTCCAAATCAATTCTTTAATGGAATTCAGATGAATGATGATCTCCTTAGAGAAGATCACGAGTACAGTTCGTAGATTTGTGATCTTCAACCCATTTTAAAGGATTCTCTCGATGGACTTCAGTTAGTAACGACTTCGGTAGAGATCAATTGTATTTCGTGCCTGCTTCATTCAAACGCTATTGCACTGTTCTCTTGTTGATTATAATCGGTTTTCCTTTCAATTGGCTCTTGTGATTGTTTCTACTACTTGTGCCAATATTTCACCGTCGTCACATCACGATCGACTGCTTTCGTTACAATCGTATGACTGATCTTTGAACTCAAAGAATGAACGCTGATTCTGATCAGAATGTCTCTGATGATGGTTATTTATACTATAGTCCAAACAATCAAAAGTAGGAGTTGGAATTTTACTTTTTTTCAATTTCATCATGCTGTGTTGTCTTGTTTTTATATATTATGAACTGATGTGGATCGGTCAAATATTTACTATTATAATCCTATAGTAGTCCTCTACCTATGCTGTATATCTTGGAATTTTGTCTTGGTGTATATGTGTATATATAATATCAACTGTAGTGATTCTTATCATTTGATTTTTATTTGCACATTGCATTTTGTATCACATATTTTTTTTATCGTACGTATAAATGACACTGTGTACTAATATATTGCGGGATAACTTTTTATATTACGCTTTCTTTATTGTATTATGACATATAGAATTGACCTGTTCATATAGAGAGATCATAGCCACCATACCTTCAGATGAGCTTTATGTGTCATAGTACAATAAAGGAAGTGTAATATAAAAAGTTATCCTGCAATATATTAGTACACAGTGTCATTTATACGTACGATAAAAAAAATATGTGATACAAAATGCAATGTGCAAATAAAAATTAAATGATAAGAATCATTACAGTTGATATTATATATACACATATACACCAAGACAAAATTCCGAGATATACAGCATAGGTAGAGGACTACTATAGGATTATAATAGTAAATATTTGACCGATCCACATCAGTTCATAGTATATAAAAACAAGACAACACAGCATGATGAAATTGAAAAAAAGTAAAATTCTAACTCCTACTTTTGATTGTTTGGACTATAATCTTATGAAAATTTGCTAGTTAGAATTTCTATAAAAAAAAAAGAAAGTAGATTCTATCATATCTTTCATCGATAAGTTTTTTGGTCATAATAAAGAAAATGTCGAAACCAATTAATAAGAAACTAGACATCGAATTAACTTAAAATATTATCTGTTTAGGTGAGAAAACTTTTGACAACTTATAACAGATTTGCTACATACGATCTTTTTGCCGAAGTCCATCGTTTATAGAAAAATTATATTTTAAATTTTTCTGTTTTTCGGTTATTAATCACTATATCTGCTACAAGTCAGGTGCGATATCTATCGAACTCTTTTTTTTTTCATCAGGGAGTCTATTTGTATCATATACACCAATCAAATTCAATAGTTCTCGAATTTTGTTCTTTCTAACTGGTTTTTTTTCTACTATATTATTATTGAGTATGTTTCGTAAGAAAAATAAATGACATCACACACACACATTTTAAGACCACTAATAACTGAATTATTAAATTATTAAATTCGATCAATATATTGATAATAGTGTCAACGCTTTGTCAAAAAATTGAACAGTCTTTTAATTTAATAAAGAAAATCTTTTGAGCGAGACTTTAATTTCATTTTTTCAAATTATACATTCAACAATGCAACTTTTGAAATTTATTAGTTTTTTTCGATATTTATTTTATTCTTAATAGTGATAACAATCAATTATTAACTATTTATTTTTGACTTCGTAAATATCGATTCTGATGCTTCTAGAAATTCTTATAAAACAATTCCTACGAATATATACATGTTTAAAAATATCTTCTCTTGTTTTCAAATTTATCAACTCTTTAAACGAATATTTGTTTTTTTTACAATGATTTCTTTTTCAGACCATAAAAAAAAAAAGATCAAAACATGCGTCTCGAAACATGTTATTATTGTTCATCGACGATCTGGCCTGGTCATGGCATACAATTTGTACGAAATGATTGCAAAGTAGAATTATTCTTTTTTTGTGTTTCTTATTTTTTAATATTTTTATATAACAATAAAATTAGATCTTTCGATTTTGTCGTTCACGTTGTCATCGTGCATTTAAAAAGAAATGGAATCCACGTAAATCACGTTGGACAAAAGCACATAGAAAATTTACTGGTAAAGATTTAACAACAGATCCAACATTCGAATTTGAAAAACGTCGAAATGAACCGGTTAAATATGATCGTGAATTATGGCAAAATACACGTAAGCAAAAAATAAAAAAACAAACATGATTTGAAAAAATAAATCCAATATATTTTTCTTATCCAGTTCAAGCTATAAAACGAGTTGAACAAATTCGTACTAAACGAGAAGGACATCATATTATGAAACGGTAAAAATTTTTTTTATTTCTTTTATAAAATGAAAACTATCATTGCAAATACTTGTTTTTTTTTTGTTTAGTCTTCGACAAGGTACACTTGATCGAAAAGCAGCTGATTTACGTGAAGTACGTGATTATATTCATCTTGTTCGAGCACCTAATGCAACAAAACCAATGGAAGAAATTGAAATGGTTCAAAAAGCTATTCAAAAACGTGAAGAAGCTGGTGAACTTTTAACTAAAATTGGTACAACAGTAGCTACAACAAAAAAATTATCAGCATTACGTCGTCGTGCACCAAAAATTGTAGTTACTATGGAAACATCAGATAATGAACAAATGCTTACAGAAGATATGGCATAATCACTGTTTGTTTTGTTGTTATTCTTTTGAAAAAATAAAATATTAATAGATCGTCGTCAAATTGTTTATTAACCGCAGATTTGCATGGTTATATAAACAAGAAAAAGAAAATTGTTTTAATTGATAATTTTGAATTTAGATAACGAAGGTCTATTTAAAATGTATAGAAAAATCGGGAGAGCGACAATTGGTCGAACGACAATTAGTCGAACGAAAATTGGGCGACGTCAATTGGTCGTAGCGACAATTGGGCGCTACGACAATTAGTCGCAATGTAGAATTGGTCGAATGTTTAACAGAAGTCTAGCTCTTTTTCACTTCTCCACAAACTTCAGTCTACACACATTAGACTCAATCACACAGCACAGCGTAAGGGTGGAGGTGGCATGTGAGAAATGTGGATGTTGTCTGCAGAATGGACAAGTAGATAACCTTATAAGTTAGCAAAAATTTGATGTTGACATTCGCCTTTTGAATTTATGGT